TCCAGCGCTCTGCCAGCTATGATGTTATGATGTCCGGCGCTCTGCGAGGCATGATGCCATGATATCCAGCGCTCTGCCAACCATGATGTCATAATGTCCAGCACTCTGCTAGCCATAACGCCATGTTGTCCAGCGCTCTGCCAACCATGATGTCATGATGTCCAGGGCTCTGCCAGCTATGATGCCATGACGTCCAGCGCTGTGCCAGCCATGATGTCATGGTGTCCAGCGCTCCATGATAAGATGTTCAGCGCTCTGCCAGCGATGATATCATGATGTCTACCGCTTTGTCGCAGCTACACGTTCGGGAAGCCGGTGCCGGGCGCTGCCCTGAAGCTGTTGGTGTCCCGTCCGTCGACGTTCTTCTTCCGACGCCGGCACGGGTCAAGTTCCGAGAAGCCGCCGCCTTCGAACGTGACCTTCACGGAGGAGGTCCGTTTCCGATAGCACGAACCCAGCATATGGGCATACACTGTCGGCACTGGCTAGCGCCTGGTCTGGTAACATACGTCCATGTAATCCTGGTGTCGACGGTCTGCAGTTCTAGCCAGGGACGAGAGACGAGAGGGCTGTTGCACGATGCCAGGCGCTCAAGCTAACGTTGACCACATATGACTCATTTGTGGCTTGATGAGTCGGGTGGCATTCTCAAATAGCACATATTTATTTTCTTGTGCCGTGCACTGTTCTCACCCGCCACGTGCGGCTCCCCAGCGGTGTGAATATTGGACGGCTGGTGTGCCCGCGCTTGATGTTGTCAGACGTTTGTGACTCAAAAGCATTGCTCGTTGGCCCATGGCACACTGTCAGATCCAATAATCATGCAGGGTAATCCTTGTGCAGTGCGAATGAATGGCTCTCGAGCATGATAACAACAGTCCGATGTACCTTGCAGTTTCGCACCGGGTGAACAAGCGCCCATGCGTAAAATACGCACAAATAGAAAGGTTGTCTCAATCGACCACGCGCCGCCAATTTAGGCTCAAGGCTAATGCAGGATTGCTCCATTTCAGACGGACACGGACGGCTGTGTCGAGATCGACGTCGTGCTGGCAAAGATCGGACTAGGAGGTGCCGTCACTCGCCGCGTCTATGCGAGTAGGGTAAGACTCGCGAAATGTTCCAGACTAGGTGCTTTTACAGGCGGAGACATTAACCAGACGACTTCCCACACTTCCAGACTAGGTGCTGTTACAGGCGGAGACATTAACCAGACAACTTGTCGCACAAACGGTTCTCTTGTTCGTGTACACTGATCTATTCAAGGGAAATCGCCCATAGGTTTTAATACAACTCCAGTATGAGAAAAATAATCCAAGCGACGATACCTTTTCGCATTAACAGCGCTTCAGCAGCCAACTGATAAATAAACTTTTTGTGGTTTGCTATGCACACAGCTTATTTTTCCACGTTCAGCTCAAGGCAAGACCTCCCATTAGCTCATCTGGTAGCATCAAAAGCCACGCACTGATTTAAAACCACGCAGTGCGTAAGACACTTACTGAAACCATGTCTGGTAATGACTGGGTTGTTAGCTCTGGACCAACTTGAGTATTTTGTTTCCAGCCACCGCCTGGGAGGAGGAGGGAAGGGAGGGCTGTGATATGCGCCTGGTATCTCTGGAACCCATGGGTGAACAGAAAAAAGACTACGGGCTTCGATGGCCCTGGTCAACTCTCTCCAGGCTTCGTCGAGATGGCATCCGTGATGTGACCAATGACGTAACAGGTCACGCAAAAAACGCCAAGACCTCCGAATAATTTTGGGGGCTTCTATCCCTGTAATTATGGTTGTATAGGCTTAGATCCAGTTGTATACACCTTAAAAGAACGTACACTTGAGCCCTAAGATCAAACCAATTTTGGAAAAATTTCATGGTTTAAGATCACGTCACGCCAAGATCAAGTTAATTTTAGATCAAGGTCATCTATGTTCAAAAACAAGGGATGTCCTTTTTACGTCAAGATAAAATCCTATCAGCCCACACCATTTTTTTGGTTTCTCTACTTGGCGTAGCATGCAAAGTCCTAAGCTTGAAAATTAATCAGCGCTATCACTTTATTGGTGACAAACGGGTCGCACCAAATCATCTTGCTTAGATATCAAAACATCGACCTCACATGCACTCCGATGATAATCTCGCGTGACCTGGCAAAGATTGACTGGCTGCCTGACATGCGGCCGCATCAACCAATGAATTACATGAGAGCAGCGCAAAACATGACAGCAAGATGCGAGTTACTGCACGCACAGGCAAGCATGTTGTAACATGTTACAAACATCTGCTGATGATGTTATAATCCATGCACCTGGCCAGACATCAGCTTTTTCCTTTGAGAATGTGTCACATGAATCACGCGCCAGGTGCTATTTTGGTGTGCTTTACTTGCTTGGTTCTGGAGTTATTAAAGATACCTGGAGTTTGGATTGCCTGTTCCATGACTGCATGTGATTGCAGATTAGTGACATGACAAATTTAGATCCTGGAGAGATAAAAGAGCTGCGCCACAATACAGAACGGCGGTGTTCTTAGCCGAGAGCGAAATGCAGTTGTCCTGTGGTGCTGTGACCTTGTGGCAGCAGTGCTCGCGACTTGAGAGGGTCAGCCCACCTCAGTGGGCGTGTGTATAGGTGGAGACACTGCGCTGCCTGACTGCACGCAGCCCGACACCGTCCGCAGATCAAGGTGGAGGCGAACGTGACGGAGAGTGGCACAGGCATTCTACAGCAAGCTGACATCACCATCCCGATCCAGAACCGCCGCGTCAGCATCAATATGTACAGAGCCGCCGGCTCTACCTTCATAAAGCCCCAACTGCCGTACTTCGGCTACGTGAGTCCAACGCCACCGGCGGCGGAGCCACCCGAGCAGCTTACAGAGCTCGAGAGACAGATTTATGTGGCCACAAAGGAACTGTGATCTTTTGAGGCCTCGCCATCTGTTTTGGGGAAAGTAGTCGTTCTTACGCGCTCGTTCAATGGAGGGAAGACTTTCAGAGAATCCCCATTTCGTTGTTTTCGTTTTCTTTCACTTACTATTACGTCTGGGTATGAAAAGAGCATATGTGTTTTCCGCTCCCACATTTTTTCTTATCGACCTTGTTGGTTGGTTGGTCTTGCTATAGATACATGCACATACAAAGCGGAGACCAGATATGAAAGAGCATTGCATAGCGCGGTTAAATGTAAGTTTGTACTCAGGATTGACCGGCAATGCTAAAACAAAAGAAAATACATGTTGCAACCATCCATCGATCATTTAAAAACGGACCAAAAGCATAGAGAAGCACACCTTTTTCATAACCGGCGAAATTATTGAGTAATTATGGTTTAAAATATGCTTCTCCGCCCATAAATAAGATTAAAAATCACACAAACACTGAGTCCCTCAATTCCCCTCACAGCTTTTCGACCCCGAATATTGCTTCGCTCTCAGATCCGTTTATTATATGTGTTACTTTCCTAGGCACAATACTATATCGCTGGCCGTCATGTAATGCAACGTGACCCTTCCCGTCCGGGTCATGACCATGACGTACCTCTATGTGTTTTTCCTCAAACTTATGAGCGCTAGTAGCCGAACGCATTTGGGATCTCTTCGTCACTTGCCTTGAGCTCTGCGCATAGCGTTCCTTGTTAACATGAGACAGTGATGTCTAAGACCTGGCTATTGTTCGTGACTTTCAGGCGACGATTAAAGACGCGGATGACGAGCCGCTCGTGAGGGAGCGCATCCAGGTCTGCTACACTTCTTACTTCAGAAACAGGAACGTGCCGGGGCCTCCGACACCTCTCTCGACATTCCCGTGAGTTGACACTGGTTGTTTCAGTTCGATTGACCTGAAATTGTTCAGGTGTTCTGGTGCTAGTTCAACGCGAGGGGGAGGGGTAATTCAAGGACCAAGGGAGCGAAATTGGACTTAGGGAGTACATATCAATAGGAATGAGCTAATGTTAACACAATTCCGGATGTATTGGTGATTTCTCGGAGGTTTACCCGTATTAGCTTGCGTTGCAACATTCTTGAAAGTTTTCAGTTTTTTAGATTTATTCAGAACGGTTTTATGAGTGGCTTTAGGTTAATGACCTGATAAGATGATCTGTTAAGAGTAGGGTAAACTTTGACATGGATCAAATGCAAATCCAAACAGCCATAGTACGGTGCGTATTATGACTAATTCAATTTAGTTTAATTCTTAACTTATTTCATTCGTATTAAGTTCAAAAGATGATGGGGGTGACAAAACTCGCTTTTATGTATTTGAAGTTTTGAAACCATTTCTGTGGTCATAAACCCTGGTTCCCTTACTAAGCGTAGTACCTAGTACCTTCCTCGCTTGCCTAGCTTACTTGGGTGGACTAAATTGAACTTACTTAGGCTAGTTTTTTTGGATGACCAGGTGACATTTAGCGCAAACATTTGTGTTCCTGGGCATTTGTGCTGTACAACAGAGGCCAAGTACCGCGACCCCGATCCAGTCACTCATATTAGAACTTCGTGCTGAGGCTGCCCGAGCTCGAGGGAGCCACACGGAAGCCTCCATCGGACTTGCCTGAAGACCAGCAGGTTGAGATCTCTGAAGGCCTTCCTTCCACATCCTTTTTTCCGTGTGGCTTATTTCAAGCCCTTAACTTTTCAAGTGAACCTTACGGGTACGTGATCTTGTCTGGGGCCATAGATGTTTCTGTGTAACATGTTCCGTGGCCTGTGTGACATGAGATGGGGGTTGAATGGTCATGCCATCCGGCCCCAGCACGCAGGGCTCGGGCCCCAATTCCTGATCAACCACGGTATGACTAAAGTGGCACGGTTCTCACTGGCGTATCGTGAGATGGTATGTGACAGCATGTGTTGTTTTCTGGCTCAAAATTAATTCATGGATATACCCTGTGTTTTTGACTCCACACTTGCCGAGAGAGATGCACGGGCGTTTGCATTCCCATTATAGATGCTTCAGTTTCCAATTACGATATAGCACGGAGAGAAAACTGCGATGGTGAAGATATGAAGGTCGTTGCGTTTCTCTCTTCTGTTATTTATTTGTATCTGCGCAAATTCACAATGTTTTATAGATGCGTCGATATTGTACAATTAACTCACGCTGCACAAACCCCTGAAAAGGGCTTCAGGGCGGGGAGGAGGAGGGGAGGGAAAGCGAAACGGAGCTGTGCACTAAACACCTCATTGTGGTCGTGTTTCCAGTGATGAAAAGACGTTTTCCATACTATTCCATCCCAGATGTGAGCAAGCAGATCATTCTCATACACATTTGTGGCACATACCTTTATTGCATTTGCATGGCGTATGCTAGCAGCCCGAAGCATACATGGCGATGAAAGGCACATAAAGTGACGGTCTGGCGTCCGTGTCACACCCTATGACGTCATTGTTGCGTCAGTCTGACACGTTGCGGCACTTCTGATATGCGCTTGAAGCCAGCCTGTCGTAAGCATGACATCAGCTTGACACGTGCGATGTCAGGGTGACACCAGCGTGACACGTGGTCGGCAGGATTGGCGGTTCGCGAGCACAGCTCGCCAGCACCTCGTACGCCCGGTTGCCCATCATCTGGCCCGACATAGTGCCCTGTGAAAGGCAGCTCTAAGGTGTGCCGCGAATACGACAGCGACAAGAACGGCCGCATCAAGTAC